GGTAAACCCACCATCAGCAATAGCACCACAGTACAGTGTATGCTGCATGTTTGTTCCTGAGCGAGATACATAACTTCAAGCAGTCCAATGTGCATTTATGTTACATTTCCGTTGATGAGAACACTCGGTTTCCTTCTTTACAATCACAAAAACACACAATCTCCTGCCTCCTACACTAGGCGATGAATGACAGGTCTTCACAGATGTAATGTACAGTACAGTGAACACATGTGCACAAAACTTTCTTAATACAACAGAATGTCTGTGGGGAGACAGACACACTAAAAATTACACCCCATCTGTAACATGAAGGAGCCCTCACATTTGGACAGCTTTACAACTTTCTGTTGTTATCACACCACGGGGCCTTATGCACTCCTTTCACAGGTGCATGCTAGCCTTTATTCAAGGCTGCCAATTAAATTGTTACCTCAGAAACTTTGGAGTCACTTCCAGCCACCTATTAAACTGATTGCCAAACTCTGAGAGACTTTCCACTTTTCAATCAAAGTGTTTTAGTTTATCCAACAATGGCAATTAGACTCAACACTCCACTTGTCCTTCAGTGCTAAATTACTTTTTTATTGTTCCCACAATGATCAATTGAAATACCAACCATCCCTGAAATTTCTCAAAATTGAAAGGTGGTAAATAAGCCACTGTCCATACACATAAACCAGCAAAGCTTTGACAGAGTGTAATTGAAATTTCCAGTCAGGAATTCAGACTGAGGTTTTTCAAGGTATAAAATGGACACGAATGAATTCCTCTGTAAAAGTAAAAAAAAATAGACAACAAATTAGAAAGCTCCACACTTAAACACTAAAACACTTGCACAGGTTTGTGGTCAAATGGTTTTAAATATTTGATAAATATTCTCAAGATTCCTGAACAAGAAAGTGACAATCAAGACTATGCACAACTTCACACAGCATAAAGAGACCTTCCCTCAATGTGTACAAATACACAAGACATCTACTAAGACACCTCCATCAGTATCTTATAGGCCTACTGTGCATTGAATGCATCCAGGAATCAGAGTGACAAATGTCTTAGCCTGGGGCCACTGTTGGCCTGCTTCAGACTGGACATTCTGCAATTCCAAGCCAACAAGAAAATGTAGCACCACCGGTCTACAATAATGGAGTGCTACTGGCCCTAAGCCAAGCACAAAAGAAATGCCTCCACGGAAATTGCCATCCAATTCCCAGCGATTCCTATCCAATTTCCAGTGATGAATTGGGCTGGTTCTAATGGAGTGAGTTCTTTGAAGGGAACACAAACAGAGTTCAAAGAACCTAAACTTAATGTGAAATGGCAGGCCAAACAAGACATCCTTCAAATTACCTTGGGATCTGGTGTATCCACTGCACTAAACAAATGCGCAAGAAAACTTGTTTACGCTGTTTAATGATGCAACGCATCCTGGAGTTCATTGAGGTTCATTCAAATTCATCTGTTACCAAGCAATCTGCATTTCCTGTACATTTAAGAATAGCACATGTACATGTACAATGTTTTTATTGAAGAATCGTGTTTTTTCTTAATTTGGAAGGACTCTTTCAGAGATCCAGTTACCCGTTTACTGCAGATTAAGTCAGATAACAGTAACTCTCTTAATATTTCCCAAATTGTGATTTTTTTTGGGGGGGGGGGAAATTTCAATGCAGGAAAAGGGTGACAGCTAGGGTTGAACAGTGAATAATTTTAGACTGTAAAGCTGGGGTGACTCATTTAACTTGTATATTCAGAAGTAATCCAAGCTCAAGACTGACAGGTTGAATTCCTATGGTACTTTTGGCACTGTTTCAATGTTCCCCCTTCCCACTCTGGTGAGGCATCGACCAATTAGTGAAGCAGTTGGTTCCCGTCACCTCACTCACATTTTGCATTTTATAGGGGTCAAAGCATTTAAACTTGACAGGCACAAAAGCCAAGAGCAAAATACATAAAACAAAGAGAGTGGTTTCGGTTTCCGTGGCGTTGAAAGAATGATCCCTTTCTAGCCAATCAAGCTTCTGCTTTTAATTCAGTTTATAATTTGGACAGTTGTAACTTTCCAGCACACCTAAAACAATCTGCATTGCGACAAATATGGGGGTCCGAGCAAGGAATAAGATTAGCCACCTGCTCCAGACTGCAATGTGTTTAAAACATGAAAGTGGCCATAGGAGCATCCTATGACGTGTAAAGGAATACCAAATACAGGTTAAACAGAGGCCTCGGTAAGGGGAAATGAATAACCTTGTCTAATGAACGTCAGCAAGAGTACATGTACAACTAGCCTACTGAGACTACAAGTAAACCTCTCCCTGCAAAAAATAATTATTGTTTCTTAAACTTTAACTTTGTTTAATTCTACTCACACTCTCCAGGAGGAAACTAAATTCTTTAAAATATCTTTCCATAAATCTACAGAACAAATATAATAAAATTCAGCTCAACCTCTGAAATATACCATTACAAATGCACCCACCGTTACATGTATGTTAGCTTTGTAGTTGTTCCCTCCAGTGGGGTTTCTTAAAAGCATCCCATAAATCAGAAGTGGTTTATATAGGAACATGTAAATAAACATTTGGGTGACCTTTCTTTGACTGCTCTCAAGCCTGCATGCTCAGATACCACACTGGAGACAATGGAGAGGGGAACAGAATGGTTCAATCCTTCAGAAAGTAAAAAATAAACTTGTCCCCGCAACGTACATGTAATTGATCCCCTAAAATAAGGCTGTCCACAAATTATCCAGAAACCATTTCCTGTTTTGAATCAAGGAATATGATTGCTCTAAATGCACCGATGAAAATGAATCTCGGCCTCTATATTACAGCCTTAAGCTTCCTTATCAATACTGCTCACTGGGGAAACAAGCCATAATTTTTTCTTGTCAAAATAAAATGAAGACAAAAGGAAATTTCAGTTGAGTTACGAAACCAAATTTCTGGAGGGGGAGGGCCATACTTGTCCTTGCGAGGGGCGAAAAATTTGGATTTTTTTTCTTCTAACCTTTTAGGGGCTTTATGAGGGATGACGCTACAAGTTCGGACCTTTTATACACTTTTCAAAGAAAGAGAAATATCCCAACCCATTGTGCCTTTCATTATAAAAATTGTGGGGAGGGTGGCAATTGCCCTGTTGCCCCCCCCCATTAGGATTATTTATGTTGGTGTTATCAGGCGTTGGGCTATGATTTGCAAAATACCAGTACATGTACAAGTATTTATGGGGAGGTACCTTTCTAGCCCTCCCCACACCCAGTTTCTGAGCGTGCTCAGTCTGTCAGTCATCTCAACGGCACTCTCACCATCTGCAGTATGTCAATGATGAAGGGGGGGGCATATCACCAGACCTCCCACCATACACTCTCATGCTGACCTCAACCACTAATGTGTCACTTATGATTGAAAGCAAGGGGAACGTTAATGGAAGTGCAAATGAACTTTGCTTGTAACCTCTTGAAAGGTGCAAAGGGTGAGGGAACGTGTTCATGTACTACATGCATAAAAGACTAGGAAGAGAAATCAGGACAGGCAAGCTTTGGTGTAGACAAGAGTTCATTAGTGGGGATCAAATTCAAAGACATATTCAAAGCTGGAAAATCATGTTTTGACAAAAGTTTCTTGCCAAAGCTGATACATTTTTTCACTCCCAAAACTGGGTCTCAACAAAGGTTTCACGAGGGGTTTAGTAATTGTATTACAAGGCTCTCATCTTGCCGAGTACCACTAGTCATGGAGGAATAAAAAACCTCCATGCACTAGTAACAGAGAAATAGGGTGGGGTCAGAAGGGTGCCCGCCCACAGAGGACAAGTGGCAGGTTCTCTGGCCATTACTAGGCTCCTTCTAGTATGGACAAACATCCTTGCATCAATGCCTGGCATCATCAGATCAGATTGCGCTGGCTGAACTGTTTTTAGTTTCCTGTTGTGCTCCCAGAACCTATCACCTCCCACCCGTAACCCAAGATTCCAATGATTGATGAGGCTGGTACTTTCCAGAATATCAGGAGATCAACACTGATTTACAACCACAGATTACTGGCCACACAGCATGATCTGTGACCAAGCTGATATGATGACTGCATCTGGTTAGCCTGCTGTGCTAAAATAAAATCTGAGAAAAAATCTGCTCTTTCTTTCCCAGTAAATTAGGAAACTGCAAATTGAACTTGACAACAATTTGCCATCATTGAATAACTGACTTAAAAATATTGATGTCATAAACTACCGGTACTTTTGCCTTTACAGCAAACAGCATAACTTTGCTATTAAAGATTCTCAATACAATTGAGGAGGCACTGATTTCACTAACAAACCTTTGACTCTCAGACTGATATAATTTTGATTTAAGACCTCCAAACTGACACAACTGGAACACCCACACTCAAGACTTGATTTCTAAACTTAATGATGAAGGTTGTCAATAAAAATTCCTTTCTCAAGTTCCTTACAATTTCTAATAAATTAACATTTCTGATAAAGAAAAAACATGTCTACCATCAGGATCACTTCTCCATTAACTATTGCACATTCCTTACAGAAATCCTAAAATGAACAGGCCAAGAGGACTTTTCTTCATTACTGTATCTAAGCAACTACATCAGTCTCTATCCTATAAAATTTTTCATTTATGCATAAACTTGAGTTGATGTACAAGTAATTAAACACCCAAAAGCATGGAAAAAAGTAACCACCCCCTTTTACAAGTGCAAAACAAGGATTTTCAACAAACAATTGTGGTTTAAATGCATAGGCAGATTATACATGTACATGTACACCAAGGCAGTGTGTGCATCAGCTGGAAATAAAAATCAATCAACTTGTCATGCATGACATCAAAGCTGCTTATCACTCCAACTCCATCTCTGACTTCTGATTGGCTAAGAGCTCCACACACAGCTCCATCAATTGACCAATCATGCAGGCTGCCAGTGACTGGAGTAGTGAAAAGGGGGGCGTGTCTCCAGACACATGCTTTATTGGACTTTTGAAAGGTGAGACACAGCGCACCAAATTATTTCTTCTCTTTAGGAATTATCCCAGTGATAAGCCAGGGCACAACATCGGCTGGATCCAGTTTTCAGAACCTCTCTTGGACAATAACAGTTATCTCCATACAACACACCGAATAGGTTTCCACGTGGTATTTCTACTGAAGATCTGATCAGTGAGGCTACTGGAATATATACAGCTTTCCAGCTGCTGTAAATTTTGAGTGGAAAGAGATATAAACTGAGCAACTGTACCATGTGAGTGAGTGCTCACAGCCACTGCTCTGAACGCGGACAATTTCATCCACAAATCTTGCAAGTGTTGTTTTGTGAAGAAAAGCAGGGATTTTGTTTAATCATGGTAAGTACCTTAAGCACGTATTTTATATTTAATTTGTCTAGGTCCATTTTACTCAAATATAATTGCTGGACAAGTAATTTTCAGGGTGTCCACATATTTACTTTTTTCACCCCAAAACCACTTAATTATGAAATCATTTGTGATGCACGATATGATGGAAATTTGATTCTTTTTTCTTCCTGCACAGAACAAATTTTACAGCTCACTTCCCTCTCAGAAAATAAAAGTTATAAAACCATTCAAAGAAATCTGTACTGCTTTTTAATGTTTAACTGACAAGTTCTGTAATCTGCTCTTGCTTTATGTAGTAATTCACAACTACCCCATCTATTTCACTGAGGCTCAACAAAATGTCTGAAGTCCTACTGTAATATGTCAAAGAAAGGTAAATGAACATGCGTAGTTGAAAAAAGGGATAAAATTCGTCTACAAGCTTGTCAACAGTCATGAATAACAACACCTGTTTAGACTTCTCCACAAATTAGCGAATGCCACAACACCGTGGAAGCTGTGTAACATTCCCTGACAATCAACAGTTCTAACCCGGCCTTGCTGTGGTTGCAGTCAATGGGTCATGGGTCCAACTCCCGCTGTGGCCTGTGAACTCCCTCAGGCCCCAAGTCCCAATTTGTACGAATGTCAACATGTTATTATGCCACAGTTTAGTGGGCCACATTACGTTTAATATCGTGTAATAAGCTTCAAGTTGCTATCACAGGTGCTGAACATTCTCCAATAAAATTGCAATAAAATGTAATTTCTTTTCCCTCGGTGGGTACTCAAGCTTGAGTTCAACTCCTTGTTCATATACTTGAAACTGGGCTGAAGGAAAGTACAGTTTCACTTTGGGGGGCACAAAGGATCAAATATACAATCTATTCAATTGACACTATTGTTCAAGTGTGAGAATGTTTTGGGGGGGTATGCTAGAGTTGACGTTCTTTGGTATTTTTGAGACATTAGCCTGTCTACGGCAATATTTTCCCCTTGAAATTCCAGCTCAGGGAGAAAAAAGTCTCCAAAGTTTGTGAGCAAGTCGTAGACAACTGGGTACGTGTACAGTAGGTGACGCCTACTGATGTATGGGGAGAAGCCAACCCAGTCAATGTCTCAGCAGGAGGTGGGGGGCGATGAGGCGTAGGTGGGATTAGATTCCATGGCAGCAACCTGAGGGGTTTGGCACAGGTGATGAGCCAACACCCAGGCAAGATATGGACCACAGGTGGGTGTTATCTGCTCAGCACACTCTGACTGTCAGAAGTATGGTACATCATAGGATGGGGGGGGGGTTGTAAAGCACATGCTCACATCAATCAACAATATTTACTATGCCTAGTTACTCAAAACTTGCCCTATGCCTTGACTTAATGTTTATGCTTATAACACCCCCTACAAAAAGTCAGACTTCCACACACAGGTATCTGCAGGTCAAAGCAGTCCATTGTTACTTACAAGGCTGGGCCGATATTAATCTTCTTGACACAGGCAAAATGCCAGTGAACTGTACATGTCTACATTAATTTACCTACTTCCATTAGATAGAAACCTTTTGGGGGGAACTCTGGTCTTATGCATGTACATGTAATACATGGAAATGCTGTATTCCTGCTTCACCCTTGCAGGATACTACACAACACCTGTTTACATGGATGTTTACATGTATGTCTGAAATGGTGATACAATGTATGATGTCGGTCTACAATAGCTGTATGATTGAATGGCTGTTCTACTTTCCATGATCAGTTTGCAAACACTGCGATTAGAACAAAAAAGTGTACACAATGTAGATGCATTATCCACATTCAGGCATTTATGCTGATCTGACCCTGAAAAACATGAGGGAGGAGGGAGGGAGGGGCCGATTTCCCCACAACACCCATTTTTGTGTTGCACTTTGCCTTCTGGATGTTGGAACATCAATGCCAATTAAAATCTTTTGAACGGTTTTGAATGTGGGTGGCAAAACGTGGGCACTTTCCAACTCACTGAGGAAAAAACCAACTAAAAATGCTACTCAACACATGGACGGTAGTGTGATCTATGAATGGTACCTACCAAGCTCTTTATACAACTAGACTGGAACTATGTAAAATGTTGAAAATGAATGGCTTTAAACTGAATTTCTAAAATATCTATCATTGGACAGATGCTGGATCTGATGAGGAGGATGGCGACAGAGGGTTTCCTTTAAGCTTAAGAAAGCTAATCTCAGTTCCTTACAGGATTATAGGAACTTCCTATTAAATTTGGTTGTCTCTACAGTCTCTAAGTATGACGTAACGCGACTTTACCTTAGTTAATGACTTGCAGTGATGTTGCTGAAGGAAAGTACAACTTGCAGAAGCCAACTTTAGCTTCTAACTGAATAGGAACTTCCAATTAAACATAAACCATTAGGAGTCCAGGTTGTGACGTAACACTGCAGAAGTTCTTCCTGTGAATGTGATATACATTGTACATTTACAACTTGAACATCACTTAAATACTGTAAGTTGTTTCTGAAATGTGGAACAGTCAATAATGGATCAACATCTTGCTGTACACTTGATCTGTAAAGCGTGGGGATCAGTCAATTGCATGGACAGTCACCATGTAATACCTACAAAGTGCATTGCTACTCAGTTCAATATGGGCTGTTTTTATACCACATTCCGTCTCTTGTTAATGCCAACTTCATTCTTGACGTCAGTTTCATGTCAGATCCAATCAAGAGCACAGGGCTTGCTTGGTCATGGTTTTCAGAACTCCCATCCTCGTTAAAATCACCATGCGGTAGTCATCCCTCCTCTTTATGCCATTATCACAGTGCGTGGTAGTAATGTACAAAGTCAGAAGCTTGGAAGATTTTCGGAAAGGGCTATCAATATCAATTTAAAAAGATATGCGATGATGAACTTTACAGGGACACCGGAAAGAGTTTATTACTGAAGCAAATGAACTAATTGGAACCTCATTTTCAAGTAATCTACCATTAGCCCCTTTGCCCTACAGACTGATTATTTTCTGAATCAAGCGAAGCATTTATTTAATTTTCAGCAACCTTGACAAGATGAGCATGGGGGAATCACAATAGTACACGTTCCCTTAGCGGACTGAATGAAAGAGTAACCATGACATCCATAAACAAGTACATCATTTTACATGTTGCTACAGGATGGTACTGTATCCAGACACCAGCTCTCAGTGGAACTCACGAACCATTAAAAATAAGTTTCACGCTAACAGTTTTTAATGCACAGCCGGGGTTTATCACTCATGCACTCTAAAAGAAGGGGACTTGAAAATTAAAGTCAAGCCTCTCACTTTAAATCAGAACAGCTACTTGCCAAAAGGGAACCCCGCAAAAATTGGTAAAAAGCTGCTGAAATATATGAAACTTTGCTGGTAAATATGCTCAGTTTATGCTAATGCTCTGAAAACAAGTACAATGCACATAATGTTATTCCTTGACAGATGGCCTTCGTCACTGCTGCAGTATCTTAAAGAATCTTGCAGAATTCCCAAGGGAGCCTTCAATCACAAAATGTTACAAAACACTGTCAGTAACCTTTATAGCAACCAGCTGATAAGTGTAACATGCTGCTGGGAGATGAGGGAATTAACAAGAAACCTTCACATCACTCACCATCTTAGCTCATCGTTTTTGGCGCAGATAGGTTTCAAAGATGCATGGATGCAATCACAATGAGACAGCACTTTCTATTTGATTGTTGTGGTCATTTGTCAGCTGGTCAGTTGTTGTGGTCAAATCTAATCAGGAAGTGGCCCATGGACACAAGACCCAACCGGTCTTGAGTCACCTAGGCCCTTTACTCATAGACCCATTAATTGAACACCCTTCAACACTTCCATCTCTTGAGAGTTTAATAGACCTACAGTTGTACAATGTAACCCACTATTCAGAAAGCCTGTTGATAAATTCACAGAAGTCTTCAGGATCAGATACTCGTAATTTGTTGTTGAGTGTGTGTCTAAATTTTTGAAATATCACTGGAAAAGGAAGTTTTTTCTGTACTGAGCAACAGAAAGACTTTGAAAGACACGGCTGAAAATCATTTCCTTGTAAGAGCTAGTAACCTGTTCTCCTTTAACTGAACAATAACCTCAATATTACCTCAGCACATAATTTAAAAGTTGGAGGGAATTTTCCACAAACAAGGCAGTCAACTACTGATTGTACACATGGGTGGAGCCAGGTGAGGGCCAACAGGGGCAAGTTGATTTTGACATAGTGAGAGAAAGGCAGTTTATTATTTTTATTATTTTTGGGGGGTCTTTATTTCATTTCCCTTCCTCCTTAGAGTGTGTAAAAAGCCCCAAATGCAGCCTCACCCTTCAGAAAGGCCACAAAAGGCTACGCTTGCAAAAAAATTCCAAACATTTTGGCCCCTCCCCCAAAACAAGTTTAGCCCCCCTCCAAAAACATTTTGAATCTGAATCCAACCTTGATTGCAGGCTGAAAAAAAAATAGCCTGCATAAATTGTATTCTTGAAAAGTACATGTACATTCTTGAACACAGTACATACCTATACTTCCAGAAAACAGAAAGGAATTAGACAAGGGTCCAATCAAGCAAAAAGAACTACTAGCTAGGGCCGCCAGGGCAACCTCATCTAGGTGTAGCTTGATGTTCTATATCCAGCCATTCATTCTCAGTTTAGATTCAACCAGGTACTTTAATAAACAACCTGCTGGGCTTTAATGTTACCCTCAAGATAAACCTTGAGCAATACTATCCTCCTGTTAATGGATGGTACCCAGCCCTGGCTGCCTCACTGTGTCTGCTGTTATATTGCACCTCGCTAGTGAGTCAATGTCAAGTGCTGCCAGTTGACAGCCAGAGAGAACGGCGCCTTGATGACAAGCATGCAGTGACCCTGGTTGGGTTTTAATAAGGCATGGAGGATGGCGTGTGGTCTGGTGAAAAAGATCCACCTGGGGGTACCAGACAGCCAATTGGCCCAGGCTCTGCCCTGGACCATATATGCTGCCAGCTAGCTATGCATCAAGCTGGGGGCACATGCAAGCAAGCAGGCCCTCAATAAATCACTCGAGGGGAACAGGCTTAGAAATTAGCAGAGCTAACCATGGCTTTGCCATGTACCAAGGGGAACAGTGTTCTTCACTGACACAGGCTATCATTCCAGGGGAGGGGAACAAGATTGCAAATCTGACTAACATAAGCTTTGTCATCAATGGAGAATGGGCTCCGTCTACAGTGTAGGGTTTGACTTTTGGAAGTAGAGAGGGGCCGCTGGAGTGAATAGACACAAGCTTTGGGATTAGCTTACAATCTGCATCACCAATTCTATTCCACAAAGAATGATGGCATCATCATGCCAACAATGTCTCCAATTACATACAAGATGCTGGTTGTGATAAGATTCACATGGACGCAGGAGTGATCTGACCGTATTTGTGCAGCACCTCATCAAGTTATTTTAAATTTCTTAGACATATTTACTTTCCACTGTATTGTATGTGAAGCTCCAGAATTTGTTAGATAGATGATTTCAGAGTCAATTCGTTCACAAGCTCTAAAGCTGATGAATGAACTTTGTAATGTACAATGTGCACCAATTGTAGCATGAGCTCTCTGTCACAGTTTTCAATCAACCCAAGTTCTGTTAAACCCGGTGATTGTGAGATTTATGTTGAAATCAACCCTAAAACCTGCTAGAGTGAGGTAGTGTTTTCCCCTTGAAGGTTGGCGCAGTTCAGCTGCTCGTGGGATGAAAGAAGGAACCTCACCCACAGGAAACAACTAGAGTACTTGTACATGTACATTGGCTTTGTTTGTGGGAAGTCCTGAAATGATGCCAGCATCTCTAGGCCAGGATGTCCGACAAAAGGATCTGGGGCAGACAAGAGAGCTCACTGTTCTTGCAAGGCTCAGACAATGGTGATGCTGTAGATGACAGATTATCTACGTACATGGAATCTCCTTTGATGTTATCAGGTCTTGGCTGGGGGAGGGATCATCTGGGACAACTTTTTTATCTCCTTCATGCTAGACTTGTATGGCTGTACAAGTGATGAAAACCAGCATAGGCTTATCTAATTTGATCAGGGGAAAAAACGAAGTTACACAAACAATGAAGAAATTACTGACAACAAATGCAGATTATAGAAAACATTATCGACAGTTTGAGCTAAAACTTAAAACCTACCGGTAACTGCAGCTTTTATAAAGCCTAATCATTTTGGTAAGTATACAGAATATTCACATTTGCTAGAAATCTGCGTACCACTGATCACACCAGGGGTACAGTAACTGATGAAAATGGCTCACTGACCACAATTGAAAAAAGCCTCCATATGAATTGCCCAGGATGTCAGCTGACACAGCAACAAGACTAGCTCTTCTTCACTTCTATAAACTTGAATCAGACCGGTTTCCTCCTTAAAAAAGCAACCTTCCCTGAGGCAGGTATCGGGCGTAACCATCTTCCTACACAACAGCCACCTGCTGTGTTTACCAGGGAAAAGTCATACTGCCCTGGGGACAGGTGACCCTAGATTAATTGGAGCTTCCTGAATTCACCACAGCCACTTCCCTGTGATTTCCACCTTGATTATCTCAGGTGTATCAAGTACAACAGTTTGTCATACCTGTCCATTCACTGGACATTTTTTCTCAAATCTTAGATTTGTCCCATTTCAGCTATACAATCATTCATACTTAGCATAAGGGCAAACAAGAATACAATTATGTGATACCAGATCAAATATTAACACTCAGAATGCACCAAAGTTGAACACACATGTACCAGTATTACAACTCAAGCAAATTTCACAGCAAATGTTTAGTGATATTACATGTAAGTCTGCTTCACTTTTTTCACATTCACTTGAAGTATAAAATGGCCATTAGGCTTTCATTTTATTAATTTATTCCTGGAGCTAAGATCTGCTTGCTCTGGTGTAGCTGCATTTTCTGCAGAAAAAACAAACTAAAACGAATCACAAAGCCATTCACTATAAGGCCCAAGTTTGGAATATTTTCTTTTGGTTCTGTTTGTTAACACTTCAAACTGAATCTTGAGCTTGACACAGAGTCAAAGATGGGAAAAAAGGCTATTTGAAATGTACAAGCCTCCATTCATCTACCAGTAGCATTGCTCACGGTTTTCAGCCATTGGATGATCCAACTTAGTGAAGATACTTGTAGTGAGGACATTCAAGATATGATGGATAAACCATCATGCTTTCTTTAACAAGAACAGTTTTGCTGGAGTGAATGGTAAACTGAAAGTCTGAGTTTCGGGTTTAAATCCAGCAAGTCAGCTGTTGCCGGGTATTTTAATTTTATTATGTTAAAGTGGAACTCTTTACCTATGGGAAATGAAAATGTTTGGAAATGTTCTACCAACATATTCAACATTAGAGGTTTAGCAGTTAGAAACGCGGTGGCAAAGTCATAACATCAGTTTCATAACATCTTCTTTGGAGTCTCAGACACATCTGGTAACTCTCAGAATAATGCCAAGCCTCATTAACCTGTAACACACTGAAACATGTCCATAACTGCCACTTGCTATAATTGAAATAGGCTAAGAATTCACTACGACAGAGGAGGATGACAATCTTCTGCCGTGTAAAAGGAGCTGTAGACAGCTGATGCATGTCCCTCAGCAAGTCTCAGTGATTCAACTTGAACACACAACTCCCTCTTGATATTCCCAACTTCCCCATATACCCTAAAATCATATGGGCCCAATTGCAGCCTGGGAAATGATGGATTGTGGGGAAAAAAGAGAACAAATATGAAGACATTGCAGAAGAAAAAATATCTTTGAATTAAATAATCTGTCAGTCATGATGACAGGACAATAGAGGGATGTTTGTAAAAATGAATGACAATTTCAGTGAAGGGTTGCAGAAGGAAAATTTCAATTATTCAAATTTCAAGGTACAAGAAAACAGGTGTACATTGGTTATTATATTGTAAGATTGTTAAAGTGCACATTCCACATCAGTCAATTGCATTTTTGAAAAAAAAAAGCCTCGCAGGAACAAATTAATGAAAGTGAGAGAATGTTATACAATCTGGAAGGTTACAACCCACTGATTGAAAGGTACTAGATAACGACTCACCAAAGAAACTACCACTAGCCACTCAGGCAGTAAGCATGGCATTAGTCCAAATTACTTCTATCATTTCCAATATTCATCAAGCCATCTTCTTATCTGACAGACATGACAGATAAAGGAACACTGACAAACATCATCAATTGGTGACATATCAATATGAGGTTTTGTTCTTGTTATATCTGTGCTTACTCGACTTGGAGGAGACTTGAAACCCCTTCCACTGCTTGATGGTGTGGGTGTCTCATTACTCAGCCAATGAACTTGCCAGGGTTGAGAAAAAGTACATTACCCCACAGAAACCAAACATGAGTCACTCCATTGCTTTCACCAAACTCTTCATTTCAGAGGGCCCAGTCCACTGCAGGCCAAACCATGTTGGTACTGGTAGCTGCTCTGCTTTGCGCAGCCCTCGTTGGAGGCAAACCATCGAGTAGACGAAGACTTCAGGAGCTGGACAATGAGATCAGCGGTGAAACCAGCGGTCTGGTGCACCAACTGATGGACAAGGTGCAAGGACTTGCTGATGAGGTTGAAGAACTGAAAAGACGACAGCAGGAGCTGTTGAAGAGGGAGTACGGGCCAGCGGAGATACTGGACGAGCCCATTACAAAGATTGGTAAGACAATCATCAACCAGTGACGGAACTTTTCTCGCTGATACTGACAATGAACGAGTTGCCTCAGTGTTACCCTTCCCTATTGTATCTAGAAATCATTCCAACATACATGTAGGTCATCTCATCAGCAGCATGAGCGACTTATTCAAACTCAATAAGCACCTCCAATCTTGCAGGAAGTCAGTTTGTCAGTTACACCACGGAGTGACGTATCGCCGCACTACGAACTGACGTATCTTGTGCACAAAGTCTATGGACGGTACGTCACTTTGTGGTGAAACCGACGATTTACAGTACTTCTCAGTAGGAACAGACAATCACTGTCAAGTGCCTATTGCTCATGGGCACAACTTCTCTGCACAAAGTCTACAGAGTTACTACACAAAACCCATCAGCTGCTCCATGAACCCACTGGTCATACATTGTAGGATGTGTGTTCAAGTCCCTCCTAGAGTCTACCGGTACATGTAGTTACAAAAAAAGTTCATCCAAAATAGGAAAGTTTGAAATCTGTGATTGGAATGAAAACTGTCAGTTCAGAATAAGAGCTGAAGGAGATGACTCAGGCCGGACATCTCCAAATTTGGTAACTCATCCTCTTGCCTTGTCACATCCATTTATTTTTACGGGTTTAACTGAAAAAATTGTCATTTCAAAGAACAATTTCAACTTTATTTGTAACCGTTAGGGAAAAATCAATCCTCTAGCCTGTCAATGAGATAATTTCCCATTATTTTTTAGATTTCTGATGCCTACACTAAATCTCTGATGATTTGACACTCATAAAGCTGACATATCAAGGAACTGGATCAAATTAACACATTCCTGTTTTAAAACGTTTAACAGTCTGGAATGGAAATGTCTTGTCAGTTTTCTCTCCCTTCAAGTAGCAAGCCTGGAGGACTCCAGCCTTCAGTGTTGATAGCTTTATGGAGTGCCGGAAGGAATAATAAAATCAAACATGACCTTGGCCTGCATTTGATTTAAAAACAAAGAATTAAAAAAAAAACCTTTCTCACAATGCTAACAAGATCGGGTCAAAGAAAAAAATTTGTGTGGCCACAGCAATTTCAAATTTCAAACACATTTCATGAAGAAAAAATGTACAGTGTAAAACATCCAATGACCACTCAAAAGACCCAAACCATCCAAAAGTAATTATATTTTTACAGGAGCAAAATGCACAGTGACAGCCATACATGTATTCTCATTTTATTCAACAGTTGGGCCAACTCCTCTGGATTGTCAAGAAGCTATGATACGTCAGCCATTGGCCGAGAGTGGCTTATACTATATCAAACCACGGGGCCTGTTTGAACCAATCCCTGTCTACTGCGATATGGAGACAGACGGCGGTGGCTGGACACTCTTTCAACGTCGCCAAGACGGCTCCGAAGATTTCAACCGCAACTGGCATCTTTACACCCGTGGCTTCGGCTCCCTGATGGGCGAGTTCTGGCTGGGGAATGAGTTCATTCACATCCTGACCAAGCAATATAACTACAAACTGCGAGTGGAGCTGACGGGCTGGGAGGGACAGCATCTGTATGCCGAGTACTCCAACTTTGCCATCGGCGCCCAACGCACCTCCTTCAAGCTGCGACTGGGCAAGTTCCTTGGAGGCAATGCCACAGATGCACTCAGCTACCATAGCAAGAAGCCCTTCACCACAATAGACAACGACAATGATGACAGTGACAGTATCAACTGTGCAGTGGTGCACAATGGGGGCTGGTGGTTCAAGAGTTGCGATCGCTCCAACTTGAACGGCCTGTATTATCACAGTCCACAGTATATGTATCAAGGGGATTGGGATGACGGAATTGAATGGAAGGAAACAGAGGGAAATGTGCCATTCTACTCCTACAAAGCCACTGAGATGAAGGTCAGACGAATGGACTAAAAACGGGTTGAATATGCAATACACTGGCATTTTTCTGCAAACTGTACCTCAACTAAATGGTCCAGTCGACAAACCCCTCAACCCGAAGCCAAACATTGGGGCAAACACAATCAATGTGATTGGCTAACCACTGTGCACAGTGGCTCACTCCAAGCAAGACTGATATGATATATTTATTGGAAAGGCAACCTAAACTGAGAAGCACAGAAAGATGTTGATGTCTTCATCAATAAGAATGTCTCCAATTACCCATATTGAACATTTACACTTGAGATCATTTCTTTATTACCTGACCAATACTCACAGATCAATCACTCTCTGAGCGATGAGGCTCAATGCAGTAATATTCTGGATGCTAGATATTCATTGATTGCCTCAAAATCCCTGAATTTCTGCAGGTTTGGAGTTTCATTCATAAGACGTGGAAAGGGTAATGAGTCATTGCTCAATGCGATATCTGTGGATCTCTCTTCGTAATAGCATTTTAATCACCGGAATGAGTGCACGTTAAGTCATCCGATGATGATCATTTAGTTTGACAAGTTTTTTCACCAGTCATCACATTTATGAATTCCGGAAAGCTGCGATGTTAGGAAGTCCAAATTTTGGTTGCACTATAACTCCATAATTCCATTGCTTTTCCTTGAGTCTATACTTGTGATAAGTCAAAAGTACATGGAATTAAAGGATACCAAAAATTAAGGCTAACGCACAGCTGTCAAAACTAATGCAGGAATTTCTGAGGAAATGCTTAAAAGATTTCTTTGGATGATTAATATATGCCACACAAACAGACCTCCTTTCTTCAAAAGCCTCTTCAAGTTCTGGGATAACTATATTGTTGAGTGTCTAAAAACGTTCATTAACCCTAACCCCTAGGGTGTGATTTGGGACTGTTATGGCTATATACCGGTGCTTCAGTAAAGTTCTCTAGCGCAACAAGATTTCCTCAGTTTTTGTGATTTCTTTTCAGGCCAAACCAAGGGTGGATGTAGAACTGAACTTTCAGCCCATGAACATTTCGTTCCTTCGAGAACCACCACTATTGTATATTTTGTATATGTGGAGGCACTTGGCCATTCAAGATTTAGTGTCAACAAGACAAAGTGGAAAAAATCAGATGTAGAATTATGCAGTGTAGTTACTTGTTCATTGTCCGGACTAATGACAGATTCTTCCAGCTTTTTTGGCTGAGGGAAATTCAGAAACAACCACATGTATAAAGGTCCTAAGTCTCACTGATAAGATCCTGACCCGACATATGGTATGATATCATAATATAGTCGGACAATTTTTCATTATTTCAAAGAGGCCTTACTTATTTGTCTATTTTCAGTCAAAGGAATGCAGTATCCATTAACTACACACTATTAAAAGTTTGAAAATATTATATAATATAGACCTACATGTAATATTTCACTATATCCTTTGCTGTAAATATAGATACATGTATGTGAGCTTGCTGTATATAGCGCTTTTGCATATTTTATGTCTAACCAATGTATCAGCTATGCTGAATGATATGTTCCAGGAGATTTGTTAAACGTAGACCTAGATGTACATGTAGTTTGTGGAAATATAATCACTCTAGCAATATTTATTACAACTACCTTTAATTTAGAAACATGTAGTCTGTAGTTTACAATGAAAACGGAAATGGTCAAAGTCTCTGAAAGTGGTAAAAAAATTATGTCAAAACCTGATACCTTGGAACTGCTGCTGGATATTTACTTGAGAAAACAAACCCCCAAAAATAAGGAAGTGAAAGGGAGACCAAATTTTCTGAAAGAGGCTTCTTGCTCCTTGAATGTAATATGAAATGAGCCGCCTACTCCCTCAGATTCAGCTCTGTCCCCGGAATTGTTTCAAACAGCTATTCAGCTATTCTGAATCCTACCCTTCACGATGTTACATAAAAAACTAGTGTTGTTGAAACTTGAAAATTCATTGAAGTCTTACGGCCAGTTTTGTAAATAAAACAAATATACCGGTACCGGTACAAACTGTAATTAATCATTTCTCTCAGAGTACATTTCTTACATTGGAGATGACACAGGTAGAACATTCTTTCAACATGCACCTCTAAAATTTGTGGATGGGGGGAGAGTGGCGGGGCTTGGAGGAAGTCTTGGTAAACTGAGCCAATTGTAGAGACACTTACAAAATGTCCCCCCCTGTCCATTTCTTTCCAACAATTAATGGCCTGACTCTCAAAAGACAGACTTGAGTGAAGAATTGATCAGTGACCTTGATGTCATATCACTGGTCTGCAGTTACTCAGCACATTTATAATGCAACGTTGGGAGTCAACATGTTCATGAAGCAATCAATTTTTTTTTATGATTTCCTTGGCACTTGCCACGGACAGACTCACAGAGAGAACCTTAAGCCAACCAATTTAAACAGTCCACACTGCAACAAATAGAATTCTCCTGTCAATCAGTCATGGCTGGTGCATATGAGTAATCATTGCGAAATGTGAGCACTTCAGTTTCATTTCCTGCATGCTTACTCCCCTCAGTGTCCTGACATAGGGATGAAAAAACTGGCAGGTGGGATGGCTTAACCAATTAACTCCCTGAAATATGTCAGCTGATTACTGCCTTTGATTTGAGTCACATGACGCTCTGTCCAAGGAAATTTTTTGAAACTCCTTTTAATGGTGATGAATATATTATACTCAGAAGAAGCTTTGAAGTGATCTGTTCAAATGTTCTGGTCTACTCGGCCTAGCTCTCGATGTTGAACCTCACAGAAATTTTCTCATTTAAATTTCCAATCCTCCTTGCCACAAGGCCGGCAGAAGGCACCATGCAACAAAGGCTTATTTCCCCTGAGGTATTTCTGGATTGAACTTTCAAACAGTGCACATTTGTATATTTTGCAGCTTTGATCAATCAACTACGCTGCTATCAAACACAAGGAACTTACCTGATTGCCATAGACAAAGATTTCATGAGTCGTTGGATTGAAACACAGAGATCTGCCTTCAGTGGGAAAGAAGGCAGAGGGAAGATCAAAGGAAGAAAAACGTGAGCAATTCACAGCGCCAACCTGTAGAAGCTGGTCAGTACTGAAGGCAAGGATGGAGTGAACACCCTGTAAGTCATTCAAGAAGAAAAAGTGAAAAACGAAAAATGGCATAAACAAACACTGATTACATTTGACATAAAATCAGCAACACCTAATCCTTAACCACTGCGCACCAGAGAGCCCAGTTTTGGGTACCTTGGGTTTGTACGCATAGCCGGGGTGCCCGAAATCGGACGAAAGTGCTTGGGCCTTGTAACAAAAGACCGTACTTGGAACAAAGACGGAGCTGCTGGGAATTACCAACATTTTTTCAGTTGTCAATAGCGGAGGAAATCCATCATTGTTTCGAAAGATTATACCACTGTTGGTGGCATTCGGCATGAGCAGATTACCGCCGGGGACAAAAGCGCTCCAGGGATGAGTGATACAATACTGCTGCACACTAATCTGACCCATATTGAAAAAATGCCGGAAGCGCACTGTGCAAGTTTTGGGACCAAAAGATACTTATGTACCGGGTAACACCACACGATCTGGGCTCTTTTTACAAGGCAGCAGGCCTGCCTGAAATACTCTGGCATCAATAGATGTCTGTCAGATTAGAGTAGCCACTAGACAGTCACTCTATGGGGTTTAGTCATTTAGGAAAAAAGAGAAGAATTTCTGAAGATTTTTTAATCATTTGAAAACCGAAGATATTGAAAAAAAATCGCCTGTATGTAGGTACTGCATTTTTAAAAGCACCCAGTAGGAAATGGTTAATAGCCTCAAAGGACAAATTAGAAGTTCTTCGTTCCTTTGTTTTCAGACTGTAAAATACTCAGGCAGAGAGACTGAACTGTCTCATACATGTAAATAAAGTTATATATGACATCTTCAGAAGCAAAAAAAAATACATGTAGATGAAAATTCCAAGCACAAGTGTTAGTTCTGACTTAGTAGCTTGATTAGGTCCATGAGGGCGTCCCAAGGACACTTTGCCTGATAATAATCAGGTCAAGGTAGTGCCTCGAATGTATTACTTCATCACCTTGTGAGGGCAGCATGGGACCTGTTACATTTCCTTTTGCGTGCAACATGGTACCATCCAGGAAGTGAGGAAGGTGGAAGTCAAAGGGACCAGGGACTCTCAACTTGCCACTGACACTTAACAGCCAAGAAAGTGACACAAACTTGTGACTTCATTCAATCTAACAATTTCACGTTGTCTTGCAGTCCCCCCACAAAAACTTTTCAGAACTCAGAGATACTTCTGGTTCCAATGAAAATTGCTGATTCATTGTGTTTCACTCTGGGTCGAGTGCCAAGATGGTGTTTCATAGACACAAAACTGAGAAATGACACACTCTGTGAACTTGGTTTGCATCCAATTCCAATTACACACATCAGCACCGATTTTTGTGTTTGCTGTCAGTTGCCTGATTGTCCATAGCTCAACAGTGATACGCAATATCTGTGGTTTCCTTTCCCCTTGTTTCCAATCAGCGTGGTGAACTTTCCTTCCAGTACTTTCCTTCCTCCTCGTACCAGATTCCCTAATAAGATGAAAATGTACAGGCACACCAGACCCCCGACCACAAAAATGTGAAGGAATTGTAGCAATACATAGCCAGATAGAGGCGTTGAAGCAAAGCCAAGTGGGAGAGGTCTTATCTATCGGTTTTTCCTTGCCAAAACTGATCCAATCATTCTAGGTTACTATCCGAGTCCACTGGGATGAGAAAAGCCAAAAAGTCAAGGTCAGTAACCGGTGGCTAACAGTGGCCACTTGGGATGAGATGAGATTGGAGCTAGGAGCTAGGAATTAGTTTGTGGCTTTACTTAAAGCAGTCAAAGAATACGAACAAGCAGAATCTTTAATGCCGGATTTCCCATGAGCTAAGGTGACAAAAATAGCACATACATGTAATTCTAATAAATAACAAACTGACAACCTTTCTTAGTTGATTCTTCTCTTTTAAAAGAGTGAATTAATGAAACTTGCAAATGTACAACGGATCTATATTGATTTAGTGAAAGAATATAGACCACATTGAATATGTGTCCACCTCCTGTTCTAGTAGTATCCCAAAGCTATCAGTGTGATGACCATATAGCTGTATTTGCCCTGAAGTGGATATCATATCCATCTCCTCGGTCCAGTAGCATCCCAAAGATAGCAGTGTGATGATCATGTAGCTATATTTGCTTGAGGTGTATTTGCTTGATGAAGTGGATATTATATCCATCTCCTCAGTCGAGTAGTATCCTAAAGTTATCAGTGTGATGAGCAAGTAGCTATATCTGTTGTACATCACAAACCACATCCTCATCTAGTAGTATTCAAAGGCTATCAGTGTGAGAGTCACAGTTATATCTACTTGAAGTTATCATACTCACCTCTTTCTCCTGTAGTATTACAAAGCTATTGGTGTGATGGTCATACACTAAGCTGCTAGGTTGGCTGAATGGACAATTTGATGCTGAGACTGTCCAGTTGGTGTAAGGGGAATAACTTGCATAAACAGCCTGAAGTGAAACCAAACATTTGGTCTGTCATCGTTCATAACAATGCTTGCTTCAATATTGGTGGACGGGAATGTTGTCCAATATCAAATTAGTAAACTATTAATTATATTTGAAGATGTGATCTCTTAAGGCTAGCCTAGTAAAGGAGGGCACTGGTGATGGCTAAGGAACAAATCATGTTTACGATCTGTCAAAATGTCATTGTTAGATTCAAACACTTTCTAACTTTAAAACGAGCCACTTATAATACCAACCATCAAGTAGCAATGCTCAATTTTTCATTTACAACATTGATTGACCGCACAGTGTGCTACGACATACCTTGTCATTACCGGACTTCACCATTGCAACATAGGCAACTGATGGAAGAAATAAGAAACACAAAGTTACAGAATGTTACTCCTGACTGGGTCACAGTATAAAGACAGTAAATGTGAGACTGCAGAACAATTATGAGAAAAAAAATCACTCCGTACTCATAGAGATCTGTACTTATAAACAGAGACAGTCGAGGTCACATGGCCCTGTTTTGTGGCAGGGTTCAGTTGAGGTATAATTCTGCAAATGTTGAGTCAAAAATTGTGATGAGTTGTCAAAACAGGAACTGCACTGCATGTCTATGGAGGAAAGATATGACAAACACTGCCAGCTGACAAGTGTGGTGAGCCATCAGCTCAACTCAATTGGCAGGTTGAGATAACTAGAACAGATTGCAATAAGATTACAACAGGATATAGGACAAACCTTGTTCAGTGGAGGATTTAGTGTATCTGTTGAAGCACACGGGTGTATAGGAGAGATGGAAGGAAATAAAGGATATTGAGCTGGGTAATTCCACAAGATTCCACAGAACCTGAGAGAAAACAGACACGCAAATCAACAAATCATACTGAAAAAAAATTAAAGAGCCTACGTTTTCTTCCTGGGTAAACTAGAATGGATTCTGCGCATAGATCCTTTTCACATGATGCTATGTGCATGTTGGACCACTGGAAGAAGTGACCATCTTACATTAGTTTGACAATGAAGATAAAAACAAATAATCTAGCTTGGCTGTGCTATGGACTGCTAACGGTGGCAGACTATCTGTCCACATTTAGCTTATATGAAACCAGAGATCTTGTCTCTACTTCTTGAATCAAGCCAGAGTACAATACACTTAGTACAAACGTCACTCAATGGCAGTATATTCAGCCAACATATTGTCATGTGGGTGAAAAGGGTCTGTAATGCCGCCGAACTCTAGTCACAAGAATGAGTTTAAAGACAGGTGTGCTACAGTCAAACCTTTTGCATGAAACATTAACGGCATCACCAAAACATTCACCTTACTATTACATAATGATGATGATAAGTTACATTACCTACTTAGAGCATCTAACTACCTGCTTCTGCACCAAAGTGCCTCTTGAATCCCGGGGTTGTGATGAAGGTAGCTGACCTCGAAACAAGCCGTGAGTTGTCAGAAGAAGTAACGACTGATCAGCTGTTAGGATCAGATCAATTAAAGCTATCTCATCACATTCTGGGAAAGAAGAAAAAAAAATGATAGACTGTAGATTATCAAGTGAAATGTTAACTCAAGGATCAAAAGACTACACCAATTCACCACATTACTAGACCTTAGATTTCTTTGGCATTCAAATTTACTGCAACTGGATTCTTACAAAGTGGGGGATTCTGTAGAATTGAGGAAGGTTCCGGGCAAGACAATGCCTGAGAAGATTGGACAACTTCTAAAGTCAACAACCTTTGCTTCATTATATTTTCTGAGGAAACTGACTGACAAAATGGAATTCTGCTCAGGTCACAAGTTACACTAATCCTGCTATCTTACCATTTGGTGTAACAGCTTGGCAAAGTTGGGTGGTGATGTTGTACCAAAATGTGTTATTACTCTCACGACCAACGGCATCCCTCGTAACCCCCACAATTATTCCTGCATAATAATCACACATGAACATAAATGAAACAACTGATGAGACAGCCTTTAGTATGGGGCAACACAGTCTATAGGTCATGTCTACTGATAGGCAAGGTCTTCTGAATATCATCTCTTCAGAACAAGAAAATATGAAAGCTTCAAATGAACTTTAAACTTTCGCAGATTATTTCCATTACAGTTTCTTATAAACCCATTCTTCAACATACAAAATTTCAGGATGGTCAAACAAGTATGATCAATAGGAATAGGTCTTTTATTAAATTTAAACTTCTTACACCGTTAGTCCAGAGTTATATCTTTAAAGGCAAAGAAACCAATAAGATCGAAGGAGTTTTGAGAAGGTTTAGTACCTTTTGTTTCAGTTGAGTTGTAGCCAAGTCCTAAGACGGCAACATCGGGCGAACATGGTGCTGGTGCCAGGAGGAATTTTGTGACATCACTTAGTAAGCTGGGATCAGTCATAAATGACGACGAAGCAACAGGCTCTCCAAGATTGGTGTTCACAAAAGATACTAGAACAGGACAGACAAAAATGACTTCAAAGACTTGCACTGAAAGGAAAGAAAAAAACTGAGCCCAAGGAAACGTAGCAACAGACATTTTGTTGGTTACTCAGCAACATCTGTAATCTTGTCTCTACTTGTGTTGAGGGAATGGGAGGTTTGGCTGTGGAGGGTGATGGAAGGTAAATATGACATACAGGTGGGAGAAAGCAAAGATGGATAGCTTTACATTTCAGTGTGGTAATCAAGCCCATAAAAGTCCTTTTGAAGGGGATTGACTCCAATTTACAACGTGACCAGTGCCAAAGAAATGCTTTGTCCTCAATTATCTGAATAGCTTGTGACTTGCCAACACTGGATGACTTGTAAGGACTGCAGGAACGTTTGATGAACTTGGTTACATAAAAAATGCATTTCAATTCTGACAATGTCTAAGACATTCATGGATGATACAATTGTTGCACCGTTCATACACGCAAGTAGAGCATACCCCAAATGTAACTGCAACTCAATGCAGGCCTCATTTTTTTTAGGGCACTACCATTTGGCATTGGTGGACTGGCTGAAATAAAGGGCAGTAATGCCAAACGTGAGGGCATTAATGCCATTAGCGTACCACAGTTATAGGCACTGATGCCACCAGCGTACCACAGTTATGGGCATTAATGCCATCAGCGTACCACAGTTATGGGCATTGATGCCATCAGCGTACCACAGTTATGGGCATTAATGCCATCCCGATTTTTTCTTTCATTCTTTCCTCGGCATTTTGCGTACCACAAAAAACTGGCCAGGCCAGTGATTCAGCAAACAACGTACATGAGAATTAATCAGGGCAGTTGCAATTGATCATACCGATGTTGTGTATATACAGTTTGGATCACACGTGGCGTGTAGCACTAAACTGTAAACACTACATTACGGTGTTAGTTAAAATACTGCCCCGACCAAACAATTGTCCCATGTGCACGAAAAACATGAAGCTCTCGATATACTGATAACGCGTACACGTTGATGAGCACTTGTTCTATACTGACGTTATTGCATGGTACATTAAAATACTTGGCTTGGGCATGCGCTGTTATTGCAAGTCGTTGCATAGGCTGGCAGGTGTCGCCTGTGCTGTGCTATGCTTATGATCATGCAGTGTGCATGGAGCGGGCTCGGCCGCCCTTGCGCGGCGCGCTGAGTGTACGATATTCCCACATAATTGCACACACGCCCTGCATGTGCGTGCATGCCATGCATTTGGGAGGCATGGTGCGGTGTTCTGGTTGAATGTGAGCAATCAAGGAACGATGTGTATGCCGCTTTCCGTGTACCTTGCTGAACAGGGGCAGTAGATATGCACATGTAGGGCACTACGGCCAAGAGAAAAAAAGGGAACTGCCATCTTGCCGGTGAAACACGATCACTTTTGGGAGGCACCACTTCCAAATGGGAGATCACCAATGGCCATGGCCGTCATGGCCATCGTGAAATTCAAGGCCTGTCAATGTGAAAGTCTTGACAGGCCCTGAACTTAACTACTGGTATTGTCTGCTCCTTATCAGTTGAGTGCACTACCGTAGAATGTCCACCTTCACAGCTTTGTGATATAGCTCACTATAAACTGACGATGAAGTTTCCAATAAGTTTACGGAAAATCACTAGTTTAGGGTGATTTTTGGTTACAACTGTCAGGATACAAATTACCTTTAGTAAGGTCCATTAACGATGTAGCGACTCTAAGAAGTTCTGTTGAAGTATCTAGATCGACTTCAACAATCCAATCTTCTGTGCCACCTTGGAAAAATGGAAAGATAAGCATACACAGGCCCAGTTTACAACTGATTACAAGAACTGAAATTAGCAATAAAAATTGTAAGCTTGATGATGAGCTTTGATCATAAAATCTTGTTCAAGGGATTTTGTGCTAAGCTTACTGTCTTGAGTGAAGATGTCTTCCTTGGATTTTGACAGGTACCACACACCAAGGGAACTATTCTGTGGGCATAAGATGGCATCTCATCAGTAATTATCTTATGATAAAATTCAAGAATCAGATTATTAAATGAAAAATCAGTGTGTAAGTTTAACAATGGTCATTTGAGAGAGGAATGAATGCTTTGAACTAGTTGCCTTAATGCTGCAAATTACTGCAAATGATGATTCAAATCTACATGGAACTCATGGGGATCATTCACAAGAGTTCTTGTTTCCACAACAAAGGAGTTGAGTTTTGAAGGAAAGCAACTTTTGCAAAGTATTTAGAACCAAAGAAGTTGGTTCAAATCCATGTCACCTTAACAACAACAACAGGCCTCAAACTGTGCTCTTGACATGTATCCCAGATTACTTACAAAGAAAAATGGTTTAAAATAGGTTCTATAGCTAAACATAGAGCAGAGTACCAAATTCTTTCCCATGACCTACCCATGATTCTAGAGGGAAGTGGATGGTTCGAATCCATGTTGTGTTGTGTATTGTGATGTGAGGTGCCAATCCCATGGAGGCAAATGAATGCCCAATGGACCTGGTATCCAATCCATCATCTCTATCATCGACATCAGTAGCTATCTCACACTGGAATACCTACAGAAGAATTCAACACTGTTTCCGTCAACTTTACAATGAACTAGACAATGTCCCACTGATTGAACGCAACTATGCATGCAGAATATCAAGGTGTGCTTAGAAGGATTCAGGTATGCTAAGGCACATTTGCTATTGCTGCTTTTAAGGCATGAATAGCACATTGACATAATCAAATACCCCATATCAGACTGCCAACAGCGGAATGTGAAATAACAACAAAGTATGGAATCTTGTAAATCTGACAACTGATACAATGACCACGTAAACATTAAAAGTCAATTTTAGCTTTTTAATTGTATTAAGTTACTGCTTGATCAAGCCAAAAAACAAAAGAAAATCTGTAAAAAAAAGATCACCACAAACTGGCTTACCACTTGTGAGTTCTCTAAGTAGAATTTCCCATTCAATTCACCTGCATCTGTTCTGTAAGAACCAACAGACAAAAAGTAACCTGCCAAAGAAATAAAAGTCGTAACTAATATAAGTTGCATTTATACACTAAAAAAGTCTACCCAGATATTATAAGCAAGATGAGGCAAAGCTAGGCAGAGCAATTGTTATGAGTTTTCTGTTTAGACCAACTTCAGGATTCCAGCAAAATCAAGGACTAGCTGTGGATATGGGTGGAGCCAAGCACTGAGTTAATTTTACTATCTTTCTTTTAAAAAAAAGAAATAGGAGGGTTGATGAAGCACTTACCAGTTGATTGTGATGTAAGAGAAAGTTGCAATGTTATTCCTAAAGTTGTCAAGAGTAAATAAAATGAAGAATCACTGGAAGGCAGCATCGTACAAGTCTGTCATGTCTGTTGAAAGAATATCCCATAAAACTGAAAGCAAAGGCTTTTTGATTTCATTCTTGACTTTTGTGAACAATGAGATCATTTTGGAAAAAGTTCATCAAGCAACATTATGAGTAAGTTCATTGATTAAGTATTTAGATATGATCCAAAAAAGTTATGTTGAGTCGATCCACTTGCTTAAATATCAGCAAAACAAATCCGCTTAACCCCACGAGAGAGCTAAATTGCAGTTATTGGCCTACGTACAGGGCCGGCCACACATGGTCCAGGCATGAAGGAAGGACACTTACCTCCTTCCTCCATGCATGGTGAAACTGAAAGTGCGTGAAAGCATGGTAATAGACCTGGCCGGCTAGAGAAGTTTAAAAATAATCGTCCGTGTGCGCTACATACACAAGTGTACCGCGGCAACTTTGTGCAAGCATCGCTTGATGAGAAATCATGGACATGAAGCTCTGCCACAGTTTATCTAAAAACACAAACACGATCAAGATTCAACTCAAGCCCACGCGGGTCCCAAAATGGGATGTTATCATGTAGGCCAACCTCACAAAAACAGATCAGATTTCGCGCTTACCTTGCCCACGCCCACGAACTTTTACCAATCGTCTGTCACGCGTGCACGTACATACGTACGTACGTATCGCATCAATTCGACGTGAAACACATGATGGCGCTGTCACGTTGCGACTGGAAAGTTCATAAACTTTTGTTTTAATAAAAAAAATTATGGAGTGCCTATTCCGACAGTTTAAAACAGGGTTATTCATCGGATTTTAGACGGTCAACCTTTTTATATCTTCACTAAGGGCTCGGAAGTGTCGCGAGTTTCATGGACTTCATATGATCAGTGACATTAGAGGGAATGGGGAAAAAGCTCTTTAAAAACTCTAAGGAGTGTGGCAAAGCACTAACAGCAGCAAATTAGTTGGAAAAACCTTCCACAGTGGGGAATAATTCCGAGGTATTTTCAAAACAAATTGATGATTTCACAACCTTTACCCAATTCTCCTCTGTTTCCCTTTTCCTTCATTGCAGTTTAATGAATTATGATTATTGATTAAAGCAAAATTATTTTATTTTTAGGCAAGACAATTTTAAAAGCCACAACTGGGGCATAACTACAGACGGGGCCACTTCAGTAAACGTGTCACTGTACAAAAGACCGTGACAAAACCACACACATTTCCTTAATTATTTAATAGTACTGGAAAAGAGGAATCTTCACACACAGTGGCAGCAGGTCAAAATATACAAACTCAAAAGTACTAAGATACACACATCATTCAGTACATAAAATGCAAACTTGAAACTTGGAGCTTTTCCGACTGTGACAACAGATTAAAAACACTGGAAGCATTGCAAGGTCAAATGGCAGGAAAAATTTTACGAAGTTTATGCAGATATACATAAAGATTGCTGAACTTGCTTGATGTAAAAAGTACAACCCAAAAAACTTTCTATGTTCAGGATAAGACAGCATGATCATAATCTTATAGTTTACTCATTCACTGAAAAAGTAAAAACAATTAATATCAGTAATTTATTTGCTCTTGAAACTCTCAAATTTTAAATATATTACTAATGGCTCAATACACAGATAAAAACACACTAAGACCCATTATATACACAAACTGCGAAAGGATAAAAACTTCATGATGGAATCTTTTAAAACATCTCTAGAAAGCTTTCAAAGTACAGCAATAATGTTGACACATACAGGACACAATGGTCACCGCAGGATCATGTTCGTGCTTGCAATGCAAAAAGTAATATGGCACCTTTCCCCAAATGAAGGCAACAAACATGGCATCACAATGATATTCAAGTCAGTGGAGTGATTACACTTCATTCAAGTCAGTGTAGTGATGGCACTCCATCCACAGCATAAATAGTACCAGTGCAATTACATATGTATTATGAATCAAGGCATGTTTGGAGATTCTGACAAGAAATCAAATTTCATCAAGTCCACTGAGTACTGAACCAAGTTACAATTTCTCAATGTAATGATGAATTTTTAATGTGCCAGCTTCAGCAACATGATGTTTGAAGGCGCAGTACAATTTAACATTCTCACTAAAATATCAATAAAAAAAATCAATAAAAACAGTACATCAAAAACCGGTTAAAGTTAAAACAATAGATTTACAAAGTCATAAAAAAGGAAAATTAAAATTCAGATAATATTACAACCACCGGAAATTGATAAAATATTCCTGTTTAACCAGAACAGAATTGAGTTGTTCTTGAAGAAGATGGCAACCTTTTGAGGCTGGATTTAAAAGCAATCTGCAGCTTTAACAAATAGGAGTTTAAAGAAATCCTGCAATCTTGTCCATTTCAACACAATCAAATCGGATAAATTTGCCCACTCATGTTTTCATCGACCACGTTATCATTCACTTGACGCGACGTCGACGAGAGCCTGAGCGCGGTTCTCGTACGCGTACTACTTGACCTCTAAGTCACTGCTCCGTGTACATCGTGTGTAGTGACTTGGACCAATGCTCGGACGAGCTTGAAGCTCAAGTAGTCTTATCCAAATTGTTAGCGCTACTGGCCTTTTCCAATTGACGGCACTGTACGTGTGTTAGTCGTGTCCGTCTAGCATGCGATGATTATGCTGCGTTCGAAGTTTTAATTCTCACGTTTTGTGAAACCTCACGATTTCCAGCAAAGCGCTGCGCTATACAATCTTTGATTTTCAGCACAAAAAGGACGTCATTGGTGAAGCATGGGAAATCCTATGGTACCATTTTTCCCACAAAAAACAACTCAAAAGATGGTCAACTGATGCAGGTACGTTGAAAACCACTTTTTGTTTTCAGGACCTGCTAACGTTTTGACACGGTGTGCGTAGGCCTCTGTAGTGTAGGCCTATGTTACTTTTCCTTGTCGGTACAAAGGCCCATCGTATGGAATTCCATATCTGCCGTCGTCCGTCGCCTTTTGCTTTTTGTTGTGCCCCAATGAGCCGTATCCATGAACGCTGGGGCGCTGTTGAAAACCAAATTCTCTATCTTGATTGGCCAAGAACCAGTCACGTGGCTTTCACTTTAGCGCTATCTGGCATTTCCCGTCCAAAAGAACTCTACCTGTTTCAACTGAGGTACTGTACCCACAGTTACCAAAGAACTGTACTCATTGCCAGTGGCATTGCGTGCAAATGCATACCGAGGTGCACACTGCTTATTACATGCATTCCAAAGAGCTTGCACAACAAGAGTTTGGTTCAACTATTTTGTGAAGAGTTAGTTCGGAAAAGTGTTGGTTGATTTTCAACTACTTGTTTTTTCAAATAGATGTAATTTTTATTTGTGCTTTTATTAAATAAATCAGTTACCAATTACATTTTAAAGAGAATCTGTGGGAGAGGTGCTATAAACTAGTCTCTGTTGGTGATCCATGAGGTTTTCTAGTTTTCCTCGGCTTTGCTTCAGGAAAATCATTCCATTCCATGGATCACCTGGGTAGGCTAGTTATACTACACCATTCAAAGCAGTCAATATTATTTAGTATGAAAGGAAAATGAAAGGGTCTGATGCTATGAGTCATAAGCCACAGCCTTCCAGTCATTAAGAAAATTGGAGCAAATCTTACGTATTTGTGTGTCAAAGTTTTATCAAAGGCAATCTACTGTCACTTATCAAAGATACTATGCAGTGTTTGGACTGAAAAAATCCTGTATGAAAAGGTTAAGTCTTAGCTCAATGATTCTGTGGAATGGCCTCCTGGGTCATCTGGTCTTATACCCAGTGATTATTTCCATTTATTTATGTATATGAACATCATGATGTTGTTGTATTATGATTCCGTATTCTAGATAAAAATCAAGGCCTTGTGTAACAACCCAGCAGTGGTGTGACAAGCAGTCCAAGAAATGCTCCACTGCTGTGAAATTTATTGTAAATAGGGAACATAGACATGCTGAAGGTGTTGCTGAATGAAGAGGTGAATCATTATCCTTTTTTTCTGAATAAATAGTTAATTCCAAAGAAAGCTTGTTAATTTTATTCACAAATCCAGTGCCAGAATATGTAGAAAGCTCAGACAACCATCAGCCTAATTAGAGAAAAGGATGGTTTCATGTATTAATCTGTAAAACCATATTCAGATATTGCTTCATCATCCATAATGGCAGAGATGCAAGTCAGGCATCAACAGGAAACTTCTAAACTAGCCGTATTCTTTCAGATGCAACCAAATAGTGTTTGGCATCATACTTTGATGTACTAATGCGTTGTAGTATTGGATTGCATTTATTTCTACGTACATTCTGTCTAATGATTTTTTTAAACTAACTGGTGATGGGTCTTTCCTTATCCTTTGTTTAGCATTTGTTTTAAGCAGCATACAGTTTAATTAGGAGAACATGTAACTAACTAAAGGTTGTGAAACCTTTATTTCGATACACAGTATTATTTTGCACAAAAAAACGGTGAAGGAGTTTATTTACCAGCACCAAATGCACGTTCTGTTAACATCTAGCTCCATGTATATTTTGTGTACATCTTCAGAAGGTATGCACAAGAAGGAGCTGGAAACGTAAACTTTGGGTATGGGCAGATTTGGGGCACACCTTTGTTTGAAAGGGGGACAGTTAATTTTTTTTTGGGGGGGAGGAGGGGTGGACCCATAAAATTTTAATTTTTTGTCACGCAATGTTTAATAGCCTTTCTGAAATATACTATTAGAAGGAAGGAAAATAAAATGGACCCCCAATGTTTTTCTCTCAATCAATAAAATGCCTCTTTTTCCTCCGCCCTCACCTTTGGTAGGTCTATAATAAGGCTAAAATAGTTGTCTTTTTTTCTGTCTTGTTCTTTTATATTTCATTGACTTGCCCTTCACCCACACCAGCAACATATTTCATGAAGAATATGTCAATAAAAGCTATTCTAACTGTAGTCTCTCTCAGGTGTGTGTGCTGTTTGTTGATTTTTAATTTGATTTATTTGAATTTGCCTATTTCCTTTTTTTTAAATTGTTATTCGCTCGTGTGTACAAAATAATCACAAAAGAAGCAGTTCTTTTACTTTTCCAAAACGTTCACGCAGTTGTTTGCTTTTTCTCTTGAAGTATCTCAATCAGGATCTTGAAGAACTTAGTTTCGTAATATTAGCAAAGAGAGAAGTTTACTGTGTTCATTTTTTTCGGTAGGATAATTCCACTGTCGGCAAAATCCCCTGTATATTTATTTAGATCACATGTAAACGTTTATCTGCGACTGCTGGCTTCGCCAAGTGCTTCATTTATTGGATGCCTTTAAAAAAA